ACATGTGTTAGCATATTTTCACAAACATTTTCAAGGGTGTTAGCACTCCACTAGATCCTAAATGCATATGCAATGAGTTAGAGCATCTAGTGGCACTTTGACAATCGCATTCCGATACGAGTTTCACCCCTCTTAATAGTACGGCTATCGATCCTAAATGTGATCACACTCTCTAAGTGTCTTGATCACCAAAACAAAATAGCTCCTATAATTTATACCTTTGCCTTGAGCCTTTTGTTTTTCTCTTTCTTCTTTCCAAGTCCGAGCACTTGATCATCACCATGGCATCACCATCATCATGTTATGATCTTCATTTGCTTCACCACTTGGAGTGTGCTACCTATCTCATGATCACTTGATAAACTAGGTTAGCACTTAGGGTTTCATCAATTCACCAAAACCAAACTAGAGCTTTCACACCACATGACTACGTCATCTACTGTCAGGCTCGGGGACTAAGTGGGCACACTTCACCTTGCAGTGAGTGTGTTTGCTTTAATCTAGAAGACTCCGCGCCTCTTGAAGCTGAAGAAGACTATCTCCCTTTCTCGTGGTCGGACTCTAAGTGGGCACACTTGGTCCACTGCGAAGAAATTTTCGATTCTGAACTTGAGCACCTTACACCCTTATGGCAAGCCGTACTTGGGTTGTCTTTGCTCGACGACAGCTCACGCTTGCTTGGCGACAGTTCACGCTTGCTTTCGGCGATGGTTCATATTGCTCAACGACGGTTCATGCTTTCGGCTGACAGTTCACGCTTACTCGGCGATGGTTCACCTTGCGCTTTCTAAGAATCGCTCACAATCGCTCGGCAACTCACCACGGTGGTCGGACCATGAGTTTGTTGCTCGGCTTTGTTCATACACTGCTCGGACAAGCTCAAAGGCAGCGTTACAACGGGTACAAGGTGCTCGGGGACTAGCTGTGGGGGGTACGACCCCAGATAGCCACGACAGACCACATGGGCTGCGCCCCGGCGACCAGACCCACACTGCGAAAGCCTTTGAGAGGCACGACACTACTAGACGTCTCCCGCAAGACACCGGGAAGATATCCTAAAGATACTATGAGATCTGTTAGTATACTTATGATCCTATGATTCCTGTAATCCGTTATTACTTTCCGGTTATCTCTCAGATCTAACCGACTTGTAACCCTACCCCCCGGACTATATAAGACGGGCAGGGACCCCCTCCAAACTCATGCAATATCATACGATAGCCAATACAATTCAACAGACCACAGGAGTTGGGTATTACATCATACTGACGGCCTGAATCTGTCTAACTCGTGTGTCTCTGTTGCCTTCTTGTTCTTGATTACACGCATATCTGCCGATCAATCTACCTTCGTGGGATACCCCTCGGAGGACTGCCGACGATATTCTGTCGACAAGAGGGGATGGAGAGGGGAGGAGAGGGTGAGGTGCATCGCGCAAGTGAGGTGCGAGGTAGGAGCCAAAGCCCTGCAGCAAGCCGCTCTCCTCCAGCCACTGGCACCGTTGTAACATGTGCAACACCCGATCTACTTTTAAAACATTCAGATGAAATATATGCAACATACGTATTAAGATAGGTGAAACACTTGAAACTTGTGTTTGAAACACGCATATATAGCCATTTGCAACAAACGTCTAAAACACTTGAAACATGTGTTTGAAACACGGATATATAGCCATTTGCAACAAACATCTAAAACACTTGAAACATACTCTCCTATGCAACTTTGTTAGGCGTTCTCACGTTTTTCATTTCGGCAAGTATATAAGGCATGGCAGTTATTCCTAGGTGTACCATCGCTTCGAATTTGGTGGCGATAAATATGAGGCACATTTTGAAGGCGTTTTGCATGCGATCTGTGAAGGAACCTGTTTCATGCATGCGGTAGGAAAACACGGCAACCAGCCAATGCCCACGGGCCACCATGCATAAGGTCGTATTTAGTGCAGAGAGCTCCCGCTCTGTGTGGGATCTGGAGAAGAGTGTCAGTGACACCTTACCCTCGCCTGTGCAATGCGAGGAGACCGCGACTCGAACCCGGAACCTTACGGTCACAGGCGGTAAGACTCTACCGCTTGCACCAAGCCCGCCCTTCACGGGCCACAATGCATGAGCCAGCTTAAATACTACATGCATGCATGAAATCGAGTCCAGCCAGTTTAATGCTGCATGCAAGCATGTATAAAATTAAGTGTATCCAGCCACACACTCTCTCGCCTAAGAAAACTGTCCGAAGGGAGTAGGCTTTTGCAACATATGCGACATCTCAGATCGACTTTTGCAACATTCGGATGAAACACTTAAAACATAAGTCTGAAACGCCTGAAATACTTGAAACACGGCGTCGCCGGCGGCCATGGCCTACATGGTAGGGGACTGCGATAGCCAGCAAGCTCGGGTCCAGGGGGAACGTCGAGAGCAAACGGCCCAGCGTGCATAGGTCTCCCCTTCTCGTCGCGGTGTCTTTGGCCGGCCGCGGGAGACGAAGTCAGGACCGGCAGCGACTTCCTCCTGGTTGGGCCGGGGTGGTGGCGGCGTGGTGCCCCCCATGGCCGCGACAGGCAAGGTGGATGGGGTCGCGCCGGTGGATAGGGGCGAGGCGCGGGATGGTGGCACGGTGCGGCAGGGTGGGGAGGGCACAACGTGCGCGGGGAATGGGCAGACAGCGGGCCAGGGTGCGGTAGGCGGATGAGCAGCCACGCCTGAGACGAGGGTAAACAGAGAGGATATTTTTTTAAAGAGAGAGAGAGAGAGAGAGAGAGAGCGGATGAGCCGCATCAGGACGGCACGGACACCGGTGCCCAAGCATTATCGATTTCATAATTACCTGGCAACCAGAGCAGCCAAACCAACCACTAAACGACCGCCAGGGCGATCCGTCGCCAGCAAGTGTGACGAAGGACGCAGTAACCAGTGACCAGTTGCCTTCCACAAACTGCAGCAACCAGCTTCACACTTCACAGTGCCTGAGTGGCTCTTGCCGCAGGGCTCTAGCTTAGCAAACAAAACTGTAACTCGTAATCTGACACCTAAGATTCAATTTTGACAGCTTAGCAAACAAAACCGTTCCTGGCAGAAAAATGCAGCACATACAACAAACACAATAATGGCTCTTGCTCTCTCGAAGAAACATAACGTGAGGCACAAGGGGCATCATATGGCACACTACACAGGGCTAAAAAGGTTTCCCCAGCGTACAGTTTACCCGGACCCAGCGTACAGTTTACTCAGTCTAAATATTGGCCACGCTAACTAGTTATCAGTCGAATTGTTGCCGAAGAGCCATCTCGGTTTCACTCTTCCAGGATGCATGCGACGATTGCCCCCTCATCCTCTTGATCTTCTCCTTGTCTTTGACAGTGGAACCCTTCTTCTTTTCGGGCTCTATTGTCTGCACCGGTCTATCACCACACTGAGGGCAAACCATACCCTTACCATGTGAATAGGTCTTTGGTACACCACATTGGAGACACATCCTAAACAATGAGGCAAAATCACAGTTAAGACCACTAATACATGTACACAAGCTATTTCGGTATTACTTGTTTCATTGTGACATTGATAAAAAATGACCATACCTCAGAAGATCAGCTGCATCTTCTGGCCCAGGATTGCAGCACCTATTATTCTTTTTCCATCAACAGAACCAGATGTCACTGAACCTGGAGGGTTGGCTCCGGTTGTGGTAACTTCGCTTCATGGATGGCAACTAACTGCGGTTTCGCCACCACAACAGCACCTGAAGATTATTTTCTAGTTATATCATAAGGGATGTAGCATATATCTGAAATTGCACTGGCATGAGCACATACTCGGAATATCATCGTATGCAAGCACTTAAGATGAAACCTGCTCTACTACCATCTCAGCACCAAGCTCAGAAATATTGAGGTGGTCCCCCATAATAGAACAGTTAACAGGCACATGGGAATATGGCATGATGTATGTATGTTCTGGTGTATTGCGTTTTGAGAAAATAAACCTAATTTACTATCATCTCAGTGCCAAGCTCAGAAATATTGAGGTGGTAATCCATAACAGAACAGTTAACAGTCACATGGGATGATGTATGAATGTTGTGGTGTATTGTGTTTTGAGAAAAGAAACCTGCATTACTATCATCTGAGCGCCAAGCTCAGAAATATTGAGGTGGCAACCCATAACAGAACAGTTAACAGGCACATGGGATGATGGATTTACGTTCTGTTGTGTTGCGTTTTGAGAAAACCAGCTTTCACAAATGTTTCCAATCGCCAAGTTTCAAAGTAGAGGCAAAACCGTAAAACTAGACACCAAAAGTAACATCCTATTTACTCAGCTTGGTGAGGCCAACTAAGTATTTCTATACAAGTCACAACATAAAGACCATATATGTGTCATTATTGCATCATCCTGAAATGTTATTTCGTGGTTTTGCTTGATAAGTTAATAGTAGCCCCATTAATTACAGTGCACAAATAAGTACCACTTGTAACAATAGCCTAAGAACAATCATCAAACAATAGCATGCACAGTCAGTAGGAGATATCATGCTGAAGAACGAATCGAATTGATATGCAGTATTTCTCATCATTCAACTGCATGATGCCTTCTATATTTTTTCCCTGAACAACCATGTTTACTTGGCCAAATGGAGTTGTGAATCAACGAAACGAACCACCACAACGGTGACACAAACAAACAGAACCAATAATTATTGCATCTTTTGTTATGTTCTGTTTCCTGGAGGGTTGTTTGTTGTGGACGCTTTTTCTTTAGTGTTTTAGTAGTTTGGTTGGTTCTCCTCTGAGGAGTTCTTGTCTAGCAGTAGTGGCTTCTGGTATTTGCATGAGAGCTGGTGTACCCAGAAGAGTCGAGTACGGTGCTTTGTAAAACTGTATATGGTTTCTTATAAGCAGGGTCTTCCTTTCTCTAAGAGCAAAACAAACAGAACCTAAAATTACTTTACCTCCAAAGACACCGCCAACAGAAGTATAGAGTATAGACTACACATTTTTCTTTTCAATCTAAAGCCAACTCTAGAAGTGTACCACCTGATTGTACAAAGATTTATGCCATGAAATGGAAAACAGATGAACACAAAACTGATGCTATAGCAAATTAGCAATGCAATTCTATGATCAAAGATCTCCAATAGTGGAGCTTCATGGTGGCCGAGGTAGATCCTTGCCTTTCCTTCCAACTTGAAAACCAGTGATGCATTAACATTTCAGCTCAGATACTAGCTAAAAGAGCAGCTCTATCACTCTACAGTATGTGCAAAGGAATAATACACAGTACATCGAATTTGCCTCTTCCTAATTCTTGTTCAAGTTCCACGGTCAAATACCTTGGGAGAACTGAAATTGCATCCGGAGTCTGTAAAATGTAGTCTAATTACATTAAAGTTACTGCTGTAAAATAACTACGTTCATTTCTCTAACAATGCAAGATCTGCAACTACATTGATAGCAATCTAATCGACCTCTACGACTCTACCTTTACCAAAATCAACAGTGGAACAGTGAGAGTGTATCATGGAATTTAGTCGATGCAAGTCTGATAAACATACACCGTTACTAACCCGACGACCAAAAAACATTAGTCTCCAGTTTACACTTCAATTGAGTCCTTAAATCTACTTACCTGGAGGCGGGTGCTTGCTCCCCTCTTTCCCACGGCGATCGAGTACACCGAGGGCCTCCGTCCCTTCCTCTGGCTCGGCAACCCTGTGCCTCAGAAACTCCGGTGGTCCCGAGACATCGGCGAAGGCCTCCAGCGCGGAGGGCAGCGAGGAGTCCCCGTCGCCGCCGCTGGCATCTCCCACCTTAGGGTTTGGTCGGCGGCGGGGCTTGAGGGCCGGCTTTGGAGGAGCGGACCCCTCGTCTCCCTCCGATCCGGATTCCTCGGCTGACGAATCACCGGACTCGCTCAGCTCGGTGCCGGCGGCGGGGTCGTCGTCCTCCTCAGCGGAGGAGTAGCCCTGGAGAAGCGACAAGCTCATTGTCCGGCTATTTTTTTAGGTTGTTTCCGTCGTGTCGACTGGCTGCAAGTCTAGTATAGCAAATTTCATGGCGTATAATACAGATGTGTTTTACGGGCTTAATTTTGAGCATTATCGGACCTTAAGTGGACTGAATTGTGTACCACCAGACCTCTCTCAAACGAATAGCAAGCACATACGTGGGCTGTATGGGCTTACTATTCTTTTTAAGCCGTATGGGCTTACTATTCGGATGGGTGGAAATATATATCTCTACAAGACGAAAACAGGGCCAAGCTCGGGCCATCTATTGGGCCACGTCAACGAAAATTTCTTGGCCATTGGATATGGATCGGAAGCCGTACAACAGCTTGGGCGGCTAGGTATGTCCACGAACTTCCAGAACAGGCTACCATCCTCGTTCAGGCTTATTTCTTCCTGAACGTCTCTTCCGATCTTCCCAATCCTCTATCACCTTGCAGGTTCCCTAGCGCAGTCACTAATTTTGCAACCACCACGAGCTTTGCCGCTCCTTGCAATCCATAGCCACGCTGCTCCCCTTCTGTTCCACCTCTGCTGACCCTCCGCCGTGCACCGCCGACACCGCATTGGCACTGCTCGGGGCTGCCTCCGTCCCTGCTTCGCGTCCCCAGTCGCCGCCGGGCCCCCGCGCGTCAGCAACGCGGCACCCACCGACGTTCCATCATCGTCTCCTGCGGCGGACGCCATCATCGGCCTGCTCGACTCCGGCATCTGCCCCGACTAACCCAGCTTCAACGACGCCGGCTTTGGTTACGTATCCAGCCGGTGGAAGGAAGTGTGACTGGGGACGACTTCAACTCATCCAACTGCAACGACTTAAGTAAGTGCCGTTTCTTTTTCTCAATTTTTTTCCGCGTATAGACATCCATTTAGTGCTTCTGATAGTCCCTCTGGATCAATCTGACGTGAGCGACTTGATTAGAATCCAATATTTCAATTTCCTATATCCATCAATCAGATATATGAGATACGTGAGCTATTATTCCTAATCCCTATCCCATTGGTAGGATTTGTCCTCAGCCTTGTGAAATCTCCTCCCAACTATTCAGTAATTTTATTTTTCCTGTACCTGCATTTGCTTTAAATTTTAGTAGGAAAATTTCTAAGTGTTACTAATAATTCAGACGTAGAGAAATGCCAATCATATTTATCAAACTTTCCCAACTATTCACATTAGATTTAATCTTCATTTCTGTACTTGACATTATCAGTGTAAAACCATGTTTTACCTTTTGAATTTACTCATCGTGGACTATGTTGTTTTTCCCCGTGATCTGAATAAGATGTTTGTACTTCATTCAGTTATCTACCAACAAAGAGCAAACTGAGAGAAGAGATGCAATTTTCTGAGTAAAATTAAGAAAACTACTATTGGAACTAACTTTAGACTCTTGCAAATCAATTATGTCCGTGCAGGTAACAATTAAGATCTAACGGACACTCCATCGTTACACACCGGTTACTACCATTGCTTTCAACGTTCTCAAAGGAACCAACATCCAGATATGGAATCCCAATGGCATTGGCTCATTGCGATCCTTCCAGCTTGGGTCTCATGAAGTGTCAAGTTCTTGGACTGTTAGTGAAATGTTGGTTACTGAAACTTTTGATGCGTGGAGCACTCTTGCCATGTAAAGTTCTTTTAGTTATTTAATCCTCTTGGATTATGAACACCTTTGGCAGATCAAGAAATCTATGTAATGGTATTGTTTTCTTAAATTTGAGAACTTGTATGTTGGGTCAATCAATATACTTCCCAAAATTTTGGTGTGCTACACTACATCACTCTTAACACATTCCACTATACTGCATTTATACATATTTTCACCTATTTTTAGAATACGCACTGCCTACTCAGATAATTTGCTGAATTTTAGAGTTCGGCTACAGCCATAGCGTCTCAAGATCTAGTAATTGTTTATACTTGACTACTCAAATGACTTGCTACCTTTCTTTCTTTTAACAAAAAGAACAGCAAGAGATTTGCCATTATTTTTTTGAGGATTTGCAGAGATTTATATAAGGTAAAGATTTCAGTGCTCTACTTAGCTTCCACAGACCCAACATGGCAACATCGGCTGGCGTGGCAACGCCCCGCCATTTTTTCTAGTGGGCTTACTATTGCAAAACACCCAGTATGTTCAAACTTCAAAAAGAAAATAAAAAGTCTATTCTTTTACCTCCCTACTAGTATCACCGTGTCTTATTTTTCTTTTTCCTTTTAAAACCAGACATCTTATAGTTTCAAAAAAAAAAAAGCAGACATCTTATACCTTAAACTCTTCAAATCTTTCAAATCATCTCCTAGTTTAGAGTGGTCCTGAAGTTGGGTAAATATTTGATAAGGTTTTTAAACCATAGAAATGTCTATAATTTTAAAATTTCCAAAAAAAAAATCTATATCTAGAAAAAAGTACTTTAAAAAAATCAGAGACGTTTTCAGTGGTCTAAAACATGAGGAAACATTTACTGATTTTTAACTTAAAGGACAAATCCACCTTCAAAATCGCTTCAAAAGTAGGACAAGAAGGTAATTTGAGCGGTTTTTAGAGTTTAGGAGGTAAGATATGTGGTTTAGAGTTCAAAGAGAAAGATCAAACTACGACGATTGTTCAAGTATCATGGATATAGAATCGACATTTTTCGAAAGAAAAAGGTATGGATGTGGGCTCACCATTAGAAAGTACAAACACACACAAAGTGTGAACAACTTTCATGAGTTACTCCTGCATAATATAACCGGCAAGTTGCCTTATATTTCCTTTGTCTAAAACCAATTGAATCGAACGACTTGCGGCTAAAGCAACTACACCTAAATAAAGAAGATCTCAAAAACTATCTAGCTTAAAGGAAAGAAAATCCTCAAAGAGATGCTTCCAAGTCCAACCAGAGAAGCAAAAACAAATGCATTTCCAAACGACCGACCACGTTCTTAGTCTGGTGGGTAGCTCACACTCACACGTGCGTCATTTTCCATGTGCCTGACCTTCCTTGCCAGCCTGACACACTTCATCAGTAAGTCAATCATGACTGGTTAGCAGCAGAATCCAGTAACTAAAAATTCCCCATCTTTTCCATACATACAGTTCCCAATCACATAGCGATCGAGCTCCAACGACGACCGGTCACCTATGATGATTGGGTATTTCTGTAGATATTTCCTAGGCGGCGCCAGGTCGGACAGAAGTTGACCCCGGCAGGCGCGAGTGCGCTAGCTCGATCGGCGCCGAGGAGGACAAGGGTTGATGTCGAGTGCAGTCAGAACCTCGATGCTCCGGCGATCTCATTGCTCACCGGGATCTTTATTCTTTAGTGGCATCCTTGTCAGGCACCTGTCTTTACCTCCGAATTGTCTGCGATTTTTCAGTCCATGAGCTGAATGCGTGGAGTATACAAGTAGTGGGGCATCTTATGCTGCATTTTTCTCATGTGCTGTCACTCTCGTGGATGATAATATAAAGACCGGCCCCTAGCTAGAAATGGAGTCGGAATATGCAGCATGTTCGGGAGGCCGTAAACGATCGTGGATTATTTACTGCTGGCTGGTTTGGTGTAAGAAAAAAATACTGTTCTGGCTGAAAATTTACGATCGTTTACGAACCAGCGAACAGGCTGTTGAACCGGTGAGGATGCAACAACCGTCAGTCTGAAAGTGCGATCGCAATCGTGATGGTTTAACCACTAGGAAAGTGACCGCACGGATCTATGGATGGATCGTTATTGTTTGGTTAATCGATTGAGTAATCAAAAATGCTTTTAGTTGGAGCAAGCAATTAGCTGCAGGTTGCCAGTGCCAATCAGATCTTAACTAGTCTCTTAAAAACAAGTCATAGGATTCGAACAGTTGACCTAGCGAGTTATTTCGCTGTCGTCCTCGAATTATTAGCTTGCAGTAATCTTGTTTGCAGCTACTCTGATTGGGCTTTTTTTGTCTGCTATGTTTGTTGCAATTGAGAGATAGATAGAGATTCCTGTGCTGATATAATTGCTCTGTCTGTGTGTCTGTCGTCACGTAGATGGCCACAATTTCTGAATACCAAATTGCCGAGAGAAATTTTGTGGATTATTGTTCGTGCTCTTCGGCCGGAATATAATGCATTTGTAAGCGTGATGGCTACGTCGTCTGCACGGCACTCAACACAAAACTGACTACACAGAGTGCATGCATTAGCAATGAGCCAATGCCCAATGGCAATACCGCTCGAGTCTCCAACTAAATGACGCATATTATATGATCACACGGAGTATAAATTAAGTGGGAAACAGTAAAGCATGCAATTTGAAGTATTCGATAAATACTACGGTTTTGATTTTAATATACTTTGGTTCTCCAAAGCTGCTACTCAAGGTACATAAGAAAGGGGTGAATTGGACTAATTCTAAATTCTTTGCAATAATTAAATCCTACACTTAGCCCACTTCACCCCTTGTGCCTAGAATGTATTTTTATTGTTCTACCGCACAAAAGTTTTGCACCATAGGTTTCAATCCTACTCTAGCATGACAATTCTAAGAATATAAAGGCAAGAAATGAATTGCTCAAATGTAAATGCTTAAAGTAAAGAGAGGGAAAGAAACGCGGCGATGTTTTACCGAGATATCGGAGAGTCGCCACTCCCCACTAGTCCTCGTTTGAGCACCCGTGCAAGGGTGTAGCTCACCCTTGATCCGTGCAAAGATCAATTGCTCTCTACGGGCTGATTATTCGACACTCCGTCGTGGTGAATCGTCCACAACCGCTCACAACTTGAGTTGGGTCATTCACAAGCTCCGCCGGATGATCACCATACTCCCAATCACCATCAAGCCGTCTAGGTGATAGCGATCACCAAGAGTAACAAGCACAAACTCTCACTTGACCACAACAAGCCTAATAAAAAGGCTGGATGCACACTTGCTACTCTCCTTGCACTAATAAGGCCTTAATCTTGGATTCTCAAATCTCAATCACCTCACTAGGCTCTTGCTCTCCTTAGCACTCTCAAGGGTGTTTCTCAGCAGAACAAATGGGCAAGAGGCCTTCCTTGGATGAGTGGAGTAAGTATTTATACCTCCTCGTTCAAAACATAACGTTTGGAGGCTGAGTCATCACTCTGCGGGGTGACCGGACGTTCCGGTCAAGGTGACCGGACGCTCCGGTCAGTTATCCCCGCCACTGTGCCAGAAAAGAGCCGTTAAGTTCTAACCGTGAAAGCATCTAGGCCCCTAGTTGGGTTTCGGTGATTAATGACAATACGTGATTACTGTGACTAACGTGTGTTTTGCAGAGGCAATTAAGTTAAGTCACGGTAATGGAGATCGATTGGGCAATCATGGTGGTCATGCCCCTACGATGAAAATCGTTTCGATTTTCAAAGGATGGACGACAAGGTTAAGGATGGACTAGTTCTAAGTGTTGTTTGGTGTTGAAGAAACACTTAGAGTAGTTTATGACTTTGTTTTTCCATTGGTCATACTATTAAGGGGGGTATGGACGGGTAGCTTGACCTAGATGAGTCCAGTGAGTTAGGTGTGGTGCACACTTGCTAAATCTAGCACTAGGTAGCTCCAAAATAGCCCTTAGATCCATTGAAGCAAACTTTATTCGCGCATGATTGAGAGTTGGAAGTGAATGGAGGGTCAAATCTCACGACCGGACGCGGCAGCCGGTGTGACCGGATCTTTGGCGCAGAGTCCGGTCAGTTCATTTG